ATATATGTTTATATTTTTGTGGAAAATATTAAATTATTACTTGATTTTCTAATAAATTAAATGCAAATTATTTAGTAGTAGGCGCTCTTTCTAATACTACTTCTTTATTTTACTTATATACTCTCTTCTACTCTCTGCTTCTTCGTTTACTCCGCTCTCTACTCTACCTTGAAGCACAAGAGTTTGACTGTTTATTATAATTTTCACTTCACGTATGAGTGGCTTAAGCTTCCTCCTTTTAATACAGATTAAACATATAAAATAGATGCCTCAACATTTATTTATTTACACGTACTCCATCTATAGTAATATTTCAAGCACAGCACACAGTACACGACTCTGTCTATGTCGTCAGCTACTTATCGAATTCGACTCTGAGACGCAATTATCAAGTGCAGTTCGAGTTCGAATTCGAATTTGATACTACAAAGCTGAGTTATTATAAACAATCCTCATGCTCGACGAAACGCCAGCAATCGAATTCTGAGCGACTTTATAAGACTTAAGACTTTGGCACGTTAAGTCACGTAGCTCGTAGTGTACAGTTAGTTTGGAAGCTTCGATGCGAGCAAACGCGATATTAATTACTGCAAAGAAAACATAAAGAATACGAAATAAAAATAACTTCAAATACAAAATATATACATATATATACAGTGAATACAGAGTTCTGTATAAAATGCAGTTAGTTTGGCTGAAGCTCTTGCTGTTCAGCTGCCTGTGGCCTGGCTCTCACCTGCAGCCCTTGGGCTACCATGAACTGGAGCTGTTGTTTGAAGAGCAGCAGCAGCAGCAGCAGCAGGAGCAACTGCTCGAAGAGGATGACTTGGATATGACGCAGGTTAATTGGAGAGCGATGATACCGTTGTTGTTGCAACGTCAGCAGTTGCGACTCTGCATGGCTGTTTACCGTTACGAGCCGCGCCTGGTCGGCGGAACACCTTGCGAACTGCTGCTAGGCAGCGGACTGATGGCGTACTGTGACATCGGCCATATCGAGGATCTAAGCGTAACAATGCGCGATGCATTTGGCGGCATGCTGTTCGATACGCTGCAAAAATGTCGGCCCGGCCTGGAAATCTTTGGAGTGCGTTGCCGACGACGTGCCTGACTTAGACTATGAGCCAGAAAAATGGATTTTAACTGAATTGCTAATTCAGTTTTCTGCAGTAGCTGTCGCTCTAGTTATTTCTCCCTCTCTCTCTCTCTCTCTGCCTCTCTGTCTCTTGTGCGCTGTCTCTGTTTTCGTGTCCCTTGTCATTTCAATGTGTCAATAAAAATACGATGTGGGTGAAGGCCTGGGCCTGGGCCTGGGCTGCCGACCAAGTCCGAGTCCGAGTCTGTGTCCTTGTTGAGTTCCAGCATCATGACAAATGACGATTATAATTTGTAAAATTTGCACCCAGCTTGTTATCCAAACGCCCGAGGGGGCGTGACAGCGCTATCTATCACTATCTCACTCTTTTTCAGCCTCTCTCTCTCTCACACTCGATGACTATGGCCTAGTTCTTGCCATCAGATTCAGTTTGTTGCAATTGTTGTTGCAATTAGCAGAGTGAATGGGTAGTATAAGAAGAAGACGCTACAGCTGGGAAAACATAAGCACAGTGAAAAACTGATGGCTTGATTTTTCCATTAAACACTGCAAATGGGAAAATTGCACAGAGCAGAAAGCAAAGGCATTTTGTTCGTTGGCAATTACCGGGCGCTGCGGGGCGGGGCAGAAATGGGGCGAAAGCATTTAGCTTGAAAATGATGACCATCATGAGTTTTCATTTTCATTCTCATTCCAGTTCTCGTTCTCATTGCTTTCGGCTTGTTATTGTTATTTTCTGCTTAATTTGTGTGCTGCTGATGTGCTAAAACACCTCTCTGCATCAATCTCTATATAAATCAAAAAGTTGTAGCATACTTTTCGGCTTCGTCTGCAAAAAGTGGGCGGCACGCCCCCGCCTCGCCCACGCTACACCCGCTGGGCTCTATGCAAAATGCAGAAGGAAATTGCTTGAAATGATTGCATGACCAGTTGGTGTGTGTGGGTGTATTGGTGTGTTAGTGTGTGTGTGTGATTTGGTGCATGTGTGTGTAATCAATATCAATAAATGCTTGTTGCAATTCGTTTCTCAATTATATCCCAGTGTTGTAAATGGGAATTCTTTTGTCGCTCTATTGCTTTTTCAAAAATAAATATTTGTATTTTAAAAATAGCTTTAAACAGATATTTCTTAAATACCTTTTAATATGGTTTGTTTGGTCGTTTAGGTTGACAACATTCGATAGTTGGTTGCATAGTTGAGCTATATGACTTGGGAGATTTTATAAACATTTTCAGTTTGGGTTTTGATATTTTGGTTAAAAATATGTTTAATGATTGGCAACTAATTTGTTACTTTATATATATTCAAGAAATTTGAAGTTCATGTTTTTATATGTATATATATAAATA